CCACTCAGCAGTAGAGTGCTTGCTTCATAATACAAAGCTCTGAGATCAGGCCCCCAATAACCACACTCAGACCCATAAATTGGAGGTCTAAGGATGTAGCTCAGTGGTTGAAATCTTGCCTGTTAAGCCTGAAGCCCTGGTTTTTGATTCAAAAAAAACAACAAAACAGTATGCAACCGTAGTACAGGTGAAACCATAGCAGATCCTTTGTGGTGATGCTTCTTCATTTCTTATGGTCGATAACCTCAGTGTCTTAGTGACATCATCCCTGGAGCTCTGTTCGACATGTTGAAATAAGGCTAGGTTCTAAGTGAATACTAAAAGTTCTGTTTTGTTCATGTATGTTGTGAGCTCATTGTTTTGAGTTGTTCTGCAAAATTGTGTCATCAGAAGGAGACATTGGTCACTAAGGTCAATAGAAAGGATGCTCTCAGCTGACCTGCATTCTGCCTCACCCTTTTGGGTTTTTTTCGAAGCATGATTTCTCTGTGTAGCTGTGAAGCCTGTCCTGGAACTCCCTCTGTAGACCAGGCTGGCCTCGAACTCACAGAGATCCGCCTGCCTCTGCCTCCTGAGTGCTGGGATTAAAGGCGTGCGCTGCCATCACCCGGCCTGTCTCACACTTTTGATTTCAGAAGTTGAAGTGATGAGAGTAGAATTTGATAGGTAACTCCTGAGCTAGATAATGTCGCATGGTGCCTCATAAGGTGCCTGTGACTGCTATTTTCTTTTTAAAATGCACTTCATAATTGACACCACATGCTGAAGTAGCTGGAGCTGCTGGGAACCTTAAGATGAAAGGTTCCCGAAGCTCCCTGAGTTGATACTGTAATACAGCTAATCTTACAGCACATGCTCTCAGAAGACAGTTGAAGCAGCTTTGAAATATTTCTTTGCACTTTTAAGCACAGCCTTGATTTCTTTCTTACAGTTTGTCTACTATCTTTGCTATTTACATTGATTTCTCATATTGAATTAATGTATGCCCTTTTGATTTTCTTAGAAAAATTACATTTCAAAGAGAAGATGGCAAGGAACATTGTGTTTTCCTTAAAATGTGCCTCCTTTTAGCTTTCGGAGCAAACAGATGATGATTGCTTAGGGCAAAAAAAAAAATGACTTAAAATTTAGTCCAGCATTAAACATTACCCAAAGGAGAAAGGAAGGGAACATTTGCTGGCATTTTCCATTTGCGAAACTGAACGTTAATGAGACCTCTGGAGTCAGAGCCATTAGCCAGCACCCTCTCTGTCCTGTCAGCCTTTCAAGTCTTTCCATTTTTACCATACTTCAGGCTTTTCAATTTTCATTTTCAAACTCATATCTGTTTCCATAGCTTCCCTGTATGTCATGGGCAATTGATCTGAAGCTATCAAATATATTAGAATTAGATCTTCTTAAAAAGCCAGCTAAGAAGAGCCATAGGCACAAAATAGTCTAATAATTGGTTTCCTTGTAACTCTCATTTCTTTTTTTTTTTTTTTGAGGCATCATCTCACTGTGTACCCCAGGCTAGCCTCAAATTTATAGAGATGTAGTGATCTGCCTACACCAGTACTCCCAGCCCCCTACAAAGTTTTGACAACCAAATGTGATGGCTCTATGATAATCTCGGTGTCTGTGGGTAAAATATCACAGCTTCTGTGCAGATCTTTGGTAGAGTGCCCTCCTTCCGGCCACTCTTTAACAAGTGGCTCACTCAGATACACCATGACTGCTACTCCTCCCGCTTCTACCCAACTCCAGAAGCTCTCACGAGCACTGTGGACTTAGACTGAAATGAGAGTCTGTTGCCAGGGTGCATCACAAGGCCGGAGCTGCTGTGAGACGCACACATCCTGCCTGTGCACTCTGCCCTTGTTCCCTCTTCTCCACTCTCCCTTGACACAGGGAATCCCAAAGCATCCAGGGCTAAATAGTGAAACCCTGTCTGGACTAGAAGAGAAAACACCTCAGTGAGGTACCATTTACATCCGTGAGGATAGCGGCAAGGACGTATAGAAATCGAAACCTCTTGAGTTCCTGGGGGCGGAGCTGGTGTGCACTGAAGCCACTGAAGAAAACGGTTTGGCTGTCCCTCAAGGCTTAAATATATGATTACTATGCAAAAGGGGAGTTCTACACTTGGGTATATATTGAGAAAAATCCAACTACTCTGACAGTTGTCAGTGTTTACGTACAGCAGCCAAAAGGCAGATGTCATCTGCGCTCCCGGCCTGTGGATGTATAAACCAATCCTGGCTTACACACAGTGCAATGGTCTGGGTAATAGAAGGTAATTAAGTATTGATTTGCGGCATAATGTGGATGAACCTAGAGGATGTTTAATGGAAGAAGCCAAACACAAAAATATCCATTTTGTTGTACAACAAAATAGTGAAAATGGTGACTTCTATGGAAATGCCATCACAATAATATGTACTAACTCTTCAAAGAACAAAAGGAAAGCTGTTGCAGATGTAGAAATCTAAAGAGACTTGGCGACAGATGCATTTTTATTCTGACACATCTGGATTGGGGAAGAAGGCACATGAGTAAAAAGGAAATTGTTGGGACAGCTGGCTAGGTGTGAAAATGGACAGGACGCAGGTTGACAAGATGACCTGAGTTTGAGCCTTGGTGCTCACGTGCTAGAAGGAAAGAACTGACCTTAGGCTGTCATCTGACTGACACACTCTCACAGTGGCATGCACACAAAATGATGTGTTAAGGCTCTTTATTAGTGGGTGATATTAAATAATGCTATATATTAATATTAAATTTTCTGATTTTATTGAGTTTATTCTACAGTGCTTAAAAGTGTGACTCTGTTCACAGGAAATATATGCTGATATATTTAAAGTAATGTAGAATAGCTCCACGTCTCCAGCTGACTCAGTGATGTGAAGGCTGTCTCTGTATAAACTATGAAGCCGGTGGAGTCAGGTGTTAGTAAACTTGCATAAAGAGTATGTGCTGGCTCCTTATACTAGTCTGTCAGTTTTTCTGTCTGTTTGAAATTGAATGAAAATTTAAAGTCACTGGCCACGTTTGGTTTCTGCCTTCATTTTTCCTGAGCAGCACTGTGGAAGTGCTATGTGTAGCTCTGGCTAGCGGTCTCCCTTCACTTTGTAAACTCTCACCTGCTCCTCAACTTCTGGCTCCCAGTATCTTCTTTATTTTAATACACAGAGCAACATCTCCATGAGATTATTTTAATATTAATTCTTTGGCTTCCATATACACTTACTGCTTTGGATAACAATCATATGCCTTTGGAACACATTTTCCTTTTGTGTGTGTCTTCCTAGTCACATTGTTTTACAACATACCAGATAATTATATATAAATAAAAGTATATATCAACTATATGTATATGTTTATGAATTTTGCATATTAACTTCCCAGAGAACGACCTTGCTGCCCCAACCTTCATCTAATAGCTTCTCCTGAAATTTATGTTTAACCTCTGGGTAGAAAACCAAGTATTGGCATAAGGTCCAGCCATACTGAGAGTACACTGAGCTATGTCCTCATTTTGGTTGTTGGGTCAAAGGTATAAACCACTACATGCTATCATGGGGGATAATATATCAGCCATTAAAGTCAGAGAAGCACTTGCTTTCTGTCTTCTGTTTGGTTTCTGCATTGCTGGGGATGGCACTCGAGGTCTTGGGCATGCGATGTAGGATTCTACCACCGAGTAGCAGCCTGGCCCCAAGTCCCTTATCCAATGGCATCTGCGATCGAGCTCTAGAATCTGGGACTGTTGGGTTGGCACGCCTGTGCCTGTGGATTTGCACCTGTTTCTGGGCCCCCGGAGTGGGTTGAGGTCTTGGGGTGATGTCATGCTGGCTCCCGGGGTGCTTGTGCTGCCCATCGCCTAACCACTTCTCTTTCCTTTGTGATGTTGATGGGATCTCCACTAGACAGAGGTAACCATGGTAGCCTGTGCTGGATGCTGGTGTGGTGCTGCCTGTCGGCTTCGTGAGATTCCTCTGCAGTGCTGCCCGTTGTTCCTGCTTGCATGGGATTGTTGCTTTGATTGTGCTTCCTTGGTTTGAATTCTTAAAACCTCTTTCTTTCTCCCCGCCTTGGTGCACAGAATGAACAGCTCCTTAAATACCTGTGGTTGGCCCAGAACTTACGGACTCTGTTTCAAGTGCATCTCTCTGGTGGATCCTCTGCAGTTTTTGGAAGTATCCTCAGTGTCACCACTGACTTTGTGCTTCAGAGAGGAATAGAGAGAGCAGGAAACGCCTAACTGGACTAGCTGGAAGGGACCATGTGTCAGGCAGGCTGCCACTGAAGCTGACCTTCATGATCATAGTGTGAAGAAAGGGAATATGTATTTGGAGTAAGAGTTGAGTCAGGAAACCATTGTTTTCATCAAACAGCTAAAACGCAGGAGCATCTAACATAATAGAGTTAGGTTGTTGCGTCTAAACCCTGGGGTGAATGTCTGATTCGGCATTATATTTCAGAGTGTTCTTTATCCTAAATACTAGTCCATATTTCAGACAAAGATTAAGAGTCCAAAAGGAAAGATTAAAATTAGTATTTCAGAAGCATTTGTATGGCCCTGAAAATGGCTGCTTCCCCTCTAATTCAGATCACTAACAGTGTGGATTTTTGGTCAGTTGGAACCAATTTCCTTTTAGCTTTTTCATTTGTTTGATTTTTTTTCTTTGTACTACCGAATATTAGTCATCAGAATGGAGTCAGTGGTTTTAAAATTAAAACAATTCTGAGTAGTAGTAGGGCTGTGTGTCCATGGCAGGAAATAATTGAAATCCCTTTCTAATTTCATATTAACCCAGTGCTTAAGTAAAAAAACTAATCATCCTTTGTCTTGGAATTTTCATTGGCTTAAAAACTGTAAAGGATCCATTGATTTCGAATGGCTGTCATAGGAATGCTTAGGTGGTGCGTGACCTGTGCTGTAACTGCCCAGTCCGTTCTCACTGTGTTCTAATTCCATCGTTTCTTCTTTATTTCTTGGTGGGACCCGTGCCTACTAGAAAATTGCCCAGGAACGAGAAAAATTTGCTGATGAAGGCAGCATATTCTACACCCTTGGAGAATGTGGGCTCATCTCCTTCTCCGACTACATTTTCCTTACAACTGTTCTCTCCAGTAAGTACGGACTCTCCTTTTGATTTGTGTGTAAGGAACACGCGGAAATGTAGAAGCAGCTCAGCTGATTGGCTGGAAAGAAACCCCTGTGTCCAGTTAGTGGATTAGAATTCTTACGAGATTTTGTTTGTTTGTTTTTTCTGTAGTTTGTGTGTAAAGTATCTTGAAAGGAAAAGAAGCCTAAAGTGTGAAGGTAGAATTTCTAAAACACCCTACCACGTTACACCTGCTGCAGCCGGCTCCGCATTCTGCTAGGGCCGATCACACACTGACCGCTGCGGCACACCGTCCCGCTCCACACACCTTTTTCATGGGACATTTTGTTCACTGAGGAAAACGCTCTATTTTCCTGCATGTGTTGACTGCCCACTTTTTAATTGGAATAATATTTCTGGGGACTCAAAAGTCAATCCTTATGTAGAACACTGGTGTGTGCCTGATTTACAAAGTGAAATGATTTAGGGTGTGTAGCACTGTGGCACTTTCTCCTAGTGTGGATTTTGATCATTCAGAAAAACTAAACGGAATGTTCATAGTTCTCTGAGTTAAAATATAACTCAGGGGAGAGCCAGGCATGCAGCTCGGTGGTTCATTATTTGCCTAGTATGTCCACGGTCCTGGGTTCTGCCCCCAGCACTGCAAAAGAAAGTACCAAAGTGACCCAGAGTCCAAACTCGACATTCTGTTGACAGAAGTGATTCTGAGTGTTCTTCCAGCTAGGAGAGACGGCCATCTCCCCTCACCGCATCTCCCCCATCTGTGACTGAGTTTCTGTAAAGATAAAACCCTGAGTCACGTAGTATAGTGGCTTTGAGACAGGGTCTCTCTGTGTAGCCTAGACTGCTGTCACATTTGGCGATCCTCCTGTCTCAACCTGCCAAGTACTAGGGTTACACATGTGTACCACTGTGCCCCGCTTATGGATTTTAACAGATAGAAAACATGGCTCCTGCCATGACCAACCAGTTCCGGCCTTTCTCCTTCCATGTACCTGCTGACAGGAGAAAGAAGAAACAGCTGTGTGCCTTATCACAGCTGGCCATGGGGGCACTGTATCAAATGAGTGTATGCGGCAGCCCAGAGCTTCAGTGAAAACGGCCATTAGCACAGTTATGACAGTCCCAAATTAAAGCATATCTTAACTCTTTGTTTTTTGTTTTATTTTGTTTTGTTTTTTGTTGTTGTTGTTTTGAGACAACATAGCCCTGGCTGTCCTGGAATTCACTGTGTAGACCAGGCTGACCTCGGACTCAGAGGTCAGGCTTACCTCTGCCTTCCCAGTGCTGGGAATAAAGGCACCTTGACTCTTTCTTGGTTGAGAGTCTAGCCTTTAAAGGCTGAACCATTTCTCCAGCCCAGACCTTGACTCTTTTTAAAAACAAAAATCATTTTTTGTGTATGTGTTTGTGCTTGAGTGTATGTATGTGCACCGTGTGTGGGTGTAGATGCTGCAGAGACACTTACTGAAAGTGCTGAGACCTGAACCCTGCCCCCTGAAAAGCAGTGAGTGCTCTTAACCACTGAGCCAGCCATCTTTCCAACCTCTTGTTGAGCTTCTTTTAAAAAAAATCAAATTTGAAAGTTTTGCAGCTGCTCAGACATTTTGTGATTGTCTTCTGACGCACCATGTCATACATTTCCCCCGCACTTCAACCTCTTTTAACCAGTGAAGACACTCAGGCATACGGAATGCTCCAGAACTTACCCCTAGTCCGACTCTCAATGCATAGATGTTTTCTGATAGGAATCTAAACTGAGCAGCCTCTGGGCTGCTATGACTTTACTGCCCTGCTCTCAGAGTTGGCAGTGGCAGCTGGAACTCACTTGCTGCCTCAGTTTCTCCAAGGCTGAGCTGCGGAGAGGCTATGATGGCAGTCTGAGCATCCTTGCAGTCTTAAGGCTACATACAGAATTTCCCACATTATCTAACAAGCTGCCAAGGAAAATACGCCACAAATGTTACACTGGGGTCAGTTCTTTCCCACATTCGGGGCTGGTGGGGTAACACAGGGCTGCTAGAGTCTAAGTACAGTAAATGGTTCCCAAGTCATCCTGGGAAAGGACAGACAACTCCCTAAGTCTCAAAAGTATTATTGGTATTGGACTCTCAAGATGGCTCAGTGGGTAAAGGCCCTTGCCAGCAAGACTCACAACGTGAGTTCAATCTTCCAACCCCACAGGGAGGAAAGACTTAAGTTGTATACACACACGCACGCGCACGCACACATAAAGTAAATAAATAAATAAGCATTGTTACTGAATTGTCGGTGTAGGACTGGAACCTGCATTAGTGTGTTTAGTTTTCTGCTGAGCAGCGGGTAATGGGCTACAGAAAACCAATAGGATGGTGGGAAGATGTCAGCTAGTTGAGTCAGGACCGCCCTTCTGGTGAGTTGTTTGCACTCCGTGAGTGCACTCCTGACATCATCGCTTGAGTGCTGCCAACACTGTGCCCTGGCGGGCTGAAGCGTGGGCCCCAGCGTGCTTGCAAAGCTCCCCTCTGTTGTTGAACATAAAATCTAAGCCCTATAGGCAGCAGATTGCTCTTTTCCAGTTTACCAGGCCTAGAAGTAAAACCAGGGAAGCTGCTTTCCTCAGGAAATGGTGTTGTGCAGCGTGGTTTTCTATACATGGTGTTCATTCTCATTGAAACCTTTTAGAAGTTTGATAAGAAATTTCTTGTGTGTGAAATAAGTGGCATTGATTTCTTATTCTTCTCCACATGTAACTTGGCTAGAGGGCCTTCTTGGGCAGCTAAACACTGAACCCCTGATTACCCATCCCATACACATGCTTACACATACATATGAACCCCTGATTACCCATCCCATACCCATACTTACACATACGTAGCTCAGAAGCCTTTTTCTTGCTTTATTTTTTCTCCTCCTTGACCCCCACCACCACTTCAGAGTCTATATAATTTTTTTGAGGGGTGCAATGAACTTTATTGATGGTATTCAAGAGAGTAGGGCTCCCTAAGCCCCCTCCTGCTATTCTGGGGGTCTGGGATGGAAACTGTGAGGGAGATGCTCAGTGTCAAGGGTTAGTTAGGACAGGGACTGCTCAGCAGCCGAGGACCTCTCTCTTGCTGTGTCCTTGCTGGGATGGGTGGTCCAGGGCGGGCTTCTTACTCCTTGGAGGCCATGTAGGCCATGAGGTCCACCACTCTGTTGCTGTAGCCGAATTCATTGTCGTACCAGGAAATGAGCTTTACAAAGTTGTCATTGAGAGCAATGCCAGCCCCAGCATCGAAGGTGGAAGAGTGGGAGTCACTGTTAAAGTCACAGGAGACGACCTGGTCCTCAGTGTAGCCCAGGATGCCCTTTAGTGGGCCCTCGGATGCCTGCTTCACCACCTTCTTGATGTCGTCATACTTGGCAGCTTTCTCCAGGCGGCAAGTCAGATCGACGACGGACACATTGGGGGTAGGAACGCGGAAGGCCATGCCCGTGAGCTTCCCATTCAGCTCTGGGATGACTTTGCCCACAGCCTTGGCAGCGCCAGTGGACGCAGGGATGATGTTCTGGGCAGCGCCACGGCCGTCTCGCCACAGCTTCCCAGAGGGGCCATCCACAGTCTTCTGGGTGGCCGTGATGGCATGGACTGTGGTCATGAGTCCTTCCACGATGCCAAAGTTGTCATGGATGACCTTGGCCAAGGGGGCTAAGCAGTTGGTGGTGCAGGAAGCGTTGCTGACAATCTTGAGGGAATTGTCATATTTGTCATGGTTCACACCCATCACAAACATGGGGGCATCGGCAGAAGGGGCGGAGATGATGACCCTCTTGGCCCCACCCTTCAAGTGGGCCCCAGCCTTCTCCATGGTGGTGAAGACACCAGTAGACTCCACAACATACTCGGCGCCGGCATCCCCCCATTTGATGTTGGCGGGATCTCGCTCCTGGAAGATGGTGATGGCCTTCCCGTTGATGACAAGCTTCCCATTCTCAGCCTTAACTGTGCCTTTGAACTTGCCATGGGTGGAGTCATACTGGAACATGTAGACCATGTAGTTGAGGTCAATGAAAGGGTCATTGATGGCAACAACATCCACTTTGCCAGAAGTGAAGGCAGCCCTGGTAACCAGGCGTCCAATACGGCCAAATCCGTTCACTCCGACCTTCACCATCGTGTCTCTGGAAAGAGGCTGGCACTGCGCAAAAAGAAGCGGCTGTCTCTAGAACAGGCAGGAGCAGAGAGCCCAGAATCTATATAATTTATTGCTTATCTTATTTATTGTCCATTCTCCAAGCTGACCGTTGAGTTACATAACAGCAATCACAAGTTTATGATACTCACTTATAGATATTTGCTGCACATAAAGAGTTACAGCAAAGACACAGAACAAGAGCATAAGATATATTGTGATTGGTGTGTTTGTTTCTTCTGAAAACAGCCTTTCTGTCAGTATCCTAGACCAGGAATAGTCCTTGCTGTCGGTATCCTAGACCAGGAATAGTCCTTGCTGTTGTTAACATCTTCAGTCTGCAGCTGTGCTGGCGGAGTGAGTGAGGGAAACATGGTTTCTAAATTAATGCATTTCAAAACACATTTGATTCCTTCTGCTAATTTAGAATCCAAGCATTGTATCCTCCCCTAGGCCGGGCGCACAGACTCTGCTGTTTATACAGCATTTCTCTGATCTGCTTTGATGAATTCACTTGGAATTTTTTTAGCATGAGCATCTGTATTAAGTAGAATATTAAATATTTACTGGATGACTACTCATCAATAAAATAAGCTCATATTCTTTCTAGACAAGATGATTAATAATTATTATTAAATAATTTCCAAAGAGCCTCTGATCCTCACAGTAGGTTAATAAAAATCAAGTGAGAACACACCACATGGTTATTATGGCTCATTATGTGCGCTGTCCAACTGTGCATCTGCTCATGGTGTTGAGATAGAAGGCAGGGATTTGTCTTCATAACTAAGTACAGAGAAATACTTCAGGGTTTATCCAGAATGCTGAATATTATTAATTTTTGGTCATT